AGGGTTTCACTGGCTAAAAAAATGGCTATTTCTTCTATCTTGAAAATGATTAGGTTCAAGATACATCACACACTGCTAGGACCCCATTACCACAATGCGGCTGCTTGGGTGCTGATCCAAGTTGTGCTGCTAAATGTTCGAATTGACCCCTTGCTCCCCGGGAGAACGACGGGCAGAGGCCTCCCAATGAAGATTTATAGCCTCTGAGACGTGATGGTCTCCAGTGCAGGGCCCTGAGCTTTAACAGAAAACCTTGTCCCACATGGGGTCAGATCTACAGGTTCAGAAGCTACAAATCCAACACTTATTTTGGAAGAGGACACAATTCAATCCATAGCATAAATGTCACGCACATTCACATTTAATTATGTAATTGAGGAACCCTGCAAATCTTATAAAGAAATGAAAGAGACATTAGAAGTTTGAGTTCAAGCAGATGAGACTGCTTGGGCTTCCTCCACTCAAATACATGTCTCTAGGTCTTTCATATGTATTGTATACATTTCAAGTTGGACATCTCAAAGTTTTTCTATTGTTCACAGGTTCACTATGAATACGAGTTTACTCAACAGCACGTAACAACTCTTTAGTCCTTACTCATGTCCAAGGTCACATGTATTGGCCACTGAGATGACTCAAGACCCACTGTCACCTGATCAGATATCTCTGACTCCAGAGAACCTACTTAAAGACAAAGACACTTCACGTCAATCATAATGGAAGCACCTAGTTCTTACCTGGTACTGGAATGTGACCATGCTGTATTTATGCTATCCTTGGTTCAAATCCACCAGCTGCCTTGAAGGAGAAAGACAGTCATTCTCCTGTTGTTTCAAATGTCTGGGTCTGAACTTCAATCATGCTCCCTGGATCAACGTCTAGAACTAACAACTAACTGGTAAGAAGCATAAAAATAGTTCTCTGAAGCTGAAGTTAGAGATCAGAGACTATAGCTTTCAGTATGATTTGCATCTCAACATCAAGAAGACAAATGTCTTCACCACTGAACCGATAAGCAGTTCATGATACATGAGTGGAAAATTACAATTGTCAATGATTTCATTTTAGCTAGGTCCTCAATCAGCATCCTGGGTACCAAAAGTCAGGAGATAAGGAAACATACTGCATTTGGAAGGCTGCTGTCAAAGACCTCTTGAATCCAACACTTATTTTGGGAAAGGACACAATTCAATCCATGGCATAAATGACATGCACATTCACATTTAATTATGTAATTGAAGAACCCTGCAAATCATATAAAGAAATTAAAGAGAGATAAGAAGTTTGACTTCAAGCAGATGAGACTGCTTGGGCCTCCTCCCCTCAAATACATATCTTGAAGCTCTTTCTGAGGAACAATGTTGTCACTTTGAAGACTAATGTGTAGCTGAGTCAGGGCATGGTCCTCAATCACTAACAATGCATCTGAAAACTGGACACCTTCAGGATCACAGAAGAATCGACGCCTTTGAGTTGTGGTGCTGGGGAAGAGGACTGAGTACCCCATAGATTGCCAAAACAGGAAGCAGAGATGTCTTGGGAAAAGTGCAACCAGAGCGCTCCTTGGAGGAAAGGATGGCAAAGCTTAGCCTCACATCCTTCAGGTATGTTGCTAGGAGAGGCTATTCCACTGGAAATTCCATTCATCATGCATGACAAGGTCAGGGTCAGCAAAGGAGAGGAAGACCATCAAGGAGATAGACGGACATGGTGACTGCTGCGATGGACTCAAGAGTGTCAGAGGTTGTGAGACCAGCACAGGAAAACACAGGGTTCAGATCTGTCATTCAAGGTCATGATGAGTCATACTTGACTCAACGGCAACTAACAAGTTAAATTATCACAAAGCTCTCTTTACTGGGACATTGTTCCTTAAACATTCATGTCCACCACAGCCCTGGCAGGTGTAACCAAGCTGTCATCATATGGTGTTGTTGCTGTTTGTTGATTGTCTTCGAGTCAAGAACAACTGACAGCGACCCCATGAGCAAAAGGCCTGAAGCCCCTCTACAACTATTGACATTTATCAAGGTTCATGGTGTTTCTAGAGGCACGTTGTTTAGGAAGTGGATGCCACTCCTGCTTCCGAACCTGTCATCATATGTTATTGTTTGTTATGTGCTGTTGAGTCCCCTGCAATGTACAGCAACTCTGAACCCTTCCCTGTCCTGAGCCAGTCTCACTAACTCCGACACACCAACCCCCATCATCCCAGTTACTTTATCAATCCATCTCAGCTGGGGTCTCCCTCTTCTGCGCTGTCAGTCTACCTTTGTGAGTATGATGTCCTTCTCCAAGGACTGATCTCTCTTGGCCACATGCCCAAAGTAAGTGAGGCGGAGCTTCAAAAATCCCAGCCTCCAAGCAGAGACTTGTTTTCACTTTTTCCAGGACAGACCTGTTTGTTCTCGTGGAAGTCCATCAGATATTTAAAACTCTTCTCCATTGTAGAATGGGACTGTCCTTGGGGTTGGGGAGAGACTGAGTAAGATGGGTTCAATAATGTATACTGCACTGAAACAGAGGAGGGAGAAAACTGTTTAAAAGAGATATATGACTAGGTATTTCTGTCATCACAGGAGTCTAGAGCGAGGGCTACATGGTGCAGGGGACCTGGGGGAGGGTTTGTAAAACAATGAAAGAATCCTTTCTTTTACTTTTCCATAATTTTTGACTCATGTACTTATAACTTGTTAGTCAAATTTGTGTCTTCTAGGTTGCAACACCCCCATGATACATCTTCAAGGATATGAACATGTACGGCCAAGCACAATCAATAAGAGTGCATCTAAATTCCAAAATCAATCTCCATAATAGTCTATGTGTTTCCTACTGCCAAAGGGGCCCTTTAGAGTAGTGAGAGAAGATCTTCACCCTGAAACCCACAGCGTCCCTTTTCAGCAGGAAGTAGCTAAGAGAATACGCCATCCCCTTTCCCTTATGACTCAGGGTGAAGTCTCTCTCAGGGAGGAGTGATAGGGAATGGCAAAGGACACACCGACAAAGGAGATTAATCAGAACTGACTTTGACAAGCACTGTGGCAATTGGACAATTAAAACAGACATTCGGATGGCGGGGAAGAAGAACAAACTGGGGAGGAGGGTAGAGAGAATGGTGCAGCAATGAAGGAATGAAAACCCAAAATCCCTGTAAATGTTCATTAAAACTAATAAAATTTAATAATAATAAAAAAAAAACTCTTCTCCAGAATCACAACTCAGAGACATTGATTCTTCCTGCATAATCCTTAGTCGCTGTCCAGCTTTCAGATGCATAGCGATCAACTGAGAAGAATCACGGCTTAGATCGGGTGCACTTTAGTCTTTAAGGTGATTCATTGCTCCTTAGCTCCCTGGAGTAATCCCTGACCGCTGACTTTCCCAAGGCAACCCATCTTTTGATTTTCTGGTGCCAAGGGTGTTGATTGTGGATCCAAGTAAGATGAAATCATTAACAACTTCAATCCTGTCTCCACCTATCATGATGCTGCCTATTGGTCTGGTGCTTAGTGTAGGGGGCAGTGGATGTAAAGTGCTGGAGAAGCGAGGTGTTTGGGTTAGGAGAGTAACTCCCTATGGGCTAGGCCACCAGAGGAAGAAAGCAAACCGGCAAGCCATTGTGATGCCTCCTGCTCCCACTATGCTCAGGGTTTCTGCCAGTTTCCTGGGGAGTGGAGCAAGGAGAGCTAAAAAGGAGAAAGGCAAATCAAGAGATTGTGTGAAGAAGATAATACTATAAATGATGTATTGTCAAGATTCTGTCTCTTGTCTTTCCAAACTCATCTCATTCCAACTTCTCACCAAATCTAAAAACCACCATTAGTTTCTGTCCTTCCCAAAGCTTCGAATCACGATGGGTCCATGTGCTACAGAGAAGGACTTTCTTAGAAGATACCCGTGGGTAGACTTCAACTGCCAAGCTTTAGGTTAGTGGTCCCATACAAGCCACTTTACCACCCAGGGCAAAAACACTCAAGGGTCAAAAAAACCACAAAAAGAAATTGGAAATTTGCTAGAGATAATTCCAGAAGAAAGGTGTCTGAAGAGTTAACTTTGGGGTTGAAGATAATGATCAAAGTCAAGTCCACAGTTCATTGTTCATAGCCTAGCTGTACTTTTTATCACCCATGTGCCCCTCAATTCCTCATAAATTAAGTTTTGCATGGATTCTGTTATGCAGTTAAACAGAGTATTTTTAAATGATATATGATATAGATAACTCAAGAGCTATTTTCACCTTTTTTACTGAATTTAACCTTCACCAACAGATCTTTCTATCTGCTTATTGATTCAATTCTCCTCTAAAAGGGTTTAGCACATTCAAGGAGTGTATTAATATTATTATCACTCATGTATGGCCAAAGAACTTGAAATGCTTCTGGTACACTTTCTAGAGAAATCTTCACAAGGTCCCAGAGGAGACATGCAGGAGGATGGTCACTGCAGAGAGTTGAAGTCAATGTGAATGTCCATCACTGGACAGCAGCTGGACCACCACCATGAAAGGATCTGTCTGATCAAATGTAACACACCAGGTGCTGCGCGGCAATGAACCTTACAAATAGAGAAGGCTCAGCAGGGAAAAGTAGCAAATGGAATGAGATCTGCAGTGAGATGCCAGAAGGTCTTAAATATGTGTCATAATGTCCACAGACGTGTATCAGTGAGATTTGCAATCAGATGTTAATTTGGAAGCAGGAGTGGCATCCACTTCCTAAACATTAAGCCTCTGGAAACTCTAGGAATGTTAATAAATGACAATAGTTATGGAAAGGCTTCAGGCCTTTTGTTCATAGGGTCAACTTGACGGCAATCAACAACAACAAAAGAAAAACACATGCCAAAATGGGACTGGAGGAGCAGATAGCGAGAGCCAAGGACAGAAGGGTAGGCGGGTGGATGGTAGAAGAATACACTGATTTAGAGAAGACAGGCACTGGTAAACACAGAGATCCTGGCAGGACCCATTTCAACCTCAGCGTGCCCGCTGGGCGCCTCACCTGAGGGCCCCGGCCTGTGGCTGGGCTGCGCCACCTGGTGCACACTCTGTTGCAGTAAGCTGAGGCATTCCCCGAGGCAGCTGAGGGTCGCAGCTGAGGTAGCTTTCAGGAGCAGCAGATCCTGGTCCAAGGCAGTCAGGGGGCCCGAACCTGGGAGGGACTCGATGGCGTGCACGAGGTTCTTCTGCTGTCCTTCCACCTGGTTCATCATCTACAAGACAGAGGAGATGGGGGCACAGTGAGTGAGGGGCGACTTCCATCAGCAGCAGTGGAACTGGAGGAAGGTGGGGATAAGAACCATGACCGCCTGGCCGGCTCAGAGGCTGTGTAAGGCCCACGGACAAGGTGCAGACCAGGGGGCAATGTCTGTCTAGAATAAGTCCATCCAAAACACCACTGTCAACTGCACATATACGAAGTTCTAAAAAGAATTCTGAAATGCTAAGGAGCTCTGGTGGCTGCCAGCCGCAAGGTATGTGGTTCAAATCTATCACCTACTCTGTGGGAGAAAGATGGGTGACCTACTCTAACGTTACAGAACAACAGAGTTGAAAGGAACCAACAGTACCATGGATTATGGCTTCCAGAACTTCGGAAGGTTATGGCAGTAACGTTGTTATGTGCCATCAAGTTGGAGTCCACTCACAGCTGACCCTCTAGCTAGTTTTCAGAGGATGCAAACTGCACAGGAAGAGAATGCCCATCTTTCTCTCCCGAAGTAGCCAGTGGATTAGAACCATATACTTTTGGACTGGTAGCACAGCTCCTTAGCACTAGGCCACCAGTGAAAGGTCCATGAAAGGCAGAAGTCTTTACGACTGTCTTCAAAGTTCTTTACCATGGAGGGTCATCAGAAGGTACAGGGACACAAATGGGGTTTTCCAGAACAGTGCTAATTCCTATTCTCGCTTCACTTCTAGTCCTTCAGTCCAGGGAAGTCCTATTCAGGGATCAGGAAACGACAGTGAAATCTGAGGTTGGTATTGGTACCAAGGAGGTCACAGTGTAGGTAGTGCAGCACTATTGCACCCTCTAAAAAAAAAGAAAAGCCCCAAATTCCCCGCCCCACCCCAAACAGAATGTGATGTTCTTAAGCTGTTTGAAAGTGGACAAAAAAATAAAACCCCAAAACAAATCAAATACAACAGGAATCCTAGATGATGGATTCCTGGTCCATGACTTCAGCTAAAACAAATCAAGATGACAGTATTTTGTGGCCTGACTTTGACTGATAAACTCCTGACAAGTAGTGGCATAATGGCCTCTTTAACTTTACAAATCAAGGAGGCAGGGACTGAGGCCCAGGTAAGGGGCACCTTGTGATGTTCATTCCCCCCCTCCTCGTGTTTTACAACTTAATCATTAGACAGGGATGGACATGAGGTACTAAAAGCCACAGTTAGCAAATAAACAGCCACTCACAACAGAGGTGGATGTGCTAAAGAAAGGCAGCGGCACAAGGTCAATGCTGGTGACCACCAAAGGCAGGTCCAAATCCCCTTCTCTGGACTCTGGTTTACTGTTTTTCAAGCTCCCCTCAGTGAAACACCAGACCCAGTAATACACTGCGGTCAGCCAATGGAGCCCTCCGCATCACAGCCCAAGGTCTTTAACACGTTGTTGCACACTTTTAAATTGACGACTGGGCTTCTGAAACAGTTTTGTTTTTTTCCGCTATAGCCATCATTTGAGGCAACGTGTTAAGGGAAGAACCTGCCCGTCTTTCTCCTGCCGAGAATCTCAAGGACTCGAACTGCAGACCTCTAGGTGAGCAGTCCAGCAGGTAACACAGTTCATTATGAGGGTTCGTTCCCCCACAGAAGCAGTCCTTCATTTAAAGCAGCATCTGCCCCCTGCTTGGTCCTCCACCCCAGCTGATGCTTGCTGTCCTCAAGATGCCACAGCGGGGGAGAAATGTTAATTCCGTAGTGACTGCATTTCTGAACTTGGACACAAAGCTCACTCTACACCTGCATTTCCTTTTCTACTTCCTTTTGGAAACAAATGTCTTAGCTTCCATCATGTCATGTTGCTGTCTCCTTAAAAAGAAAACCTTCATCCACATCAACTGTTGTTACCAAAACTGACGCCATCTCCTCAGGAAGATTTGGGGAAATCAATGCTAAGAGACATGTTCCACAGATGAGGCAAGGAGGGTTCCCCCATCCACACATCACTGGGCCACTCAGCCCAGCTTTTCCAAGATTACAGAGGTTACGTCTGGTCATTCCCACTCCTAACAGTGCCTGGTGCAAGCCTGCATCTCCACCAATGCTGGCCTCCCTATTCTTGGTGTCATTACATGCTGTCCAGTGGGCCACAACTCGTAGTAACCCTGTGAGTAACAGATCAGAACCCTGCCCTATCCTGTGTCATTCTCATGATATCCGATACACTCGACCCCCCTTGTCATGGTCACTACGTCAATTCCTCTTGTTGAGGGTTTTCTTCTCTTTATCTGACCCCCCCTCACCTTTCCCAACATGACTGGCCCCTCCTGACAGCATGTCCAAAGTTTATGAGACAAAGTTTCACCATCGTTGTCTCTAAGAAGTTCCCTGGTTAAGAAACCATTCCCGTGGTCTTAGGGGCCTACTGTTGCTGTACCGGCAATGTCATAAACAGAACACATGTGCTTGTCCTTTTTGGCAGCCCCCCGACGACTGTGCTTATCAATCTTATTTCTCCCTTTAGTACTTGGCAGCCTCCAGCCTGCCTTGTAATTTTATGATGTTACTCATCTATGCTAGTGAGGAAGGTGCCCCAAGGCAGGGATGTTCCCAGAGTGCTTCACTAATTCAGCCCAAGGAAAAGGCTGCTGAATGAATGGCTGAATCCTTCATCATTCTTTACTCTGAGTGTCCAAGAGAAGCTATTTACAACACAAATTCTACAGAAATCATCCGGACCAGAGAGCTTACCACTCAATTAGCATAACATGGCTGGACACTTAGCAAAGGTGCCTGACTCCTTGGTCATCACTTTGTCGGGAACAGCAAACCGATTTCACTTCAAGCAGAAGACCTCAATTCAGTCACTCACGCATTGCCCTCCAGTCAGAATAAACTCACAGCGGAGCCTGCGCTGGGTTTCCAGAGCTCTAAGTCACACGGGAGGAGAAGGCCATCCTTCTGCTCTGCTGTCAGGGTGGACGTGAATTGCCAAGAGGCAAAGCCTTGGGGTGAGCAGCGCAGCTGCCCGTAGACTGCGTCACCAGAGCTCCCTAAGCAAAATCAAGCGTCTCTACATTCTTGGACAGTTGATTATAAGTAGAGCTGCTAAGAAGGGAAAAAGGGAAAAATTTCAGGCTATTTGTAATAGCATTTCTGTAAATCCTTAAGATAAAATCGAGTCTTTCAGGAAAAAAAAAGATGCATTGAAAGGGAAGAAAAATAATCTAATGATGAAAAGTATAATCCATCATGTTGGGGATGACTACAGACAATGCTACAACCCTTTAAAAAGGTGACTTAAGATTAGAAGTGATATATGATTGAGTATTATGGTTAGCACAGGAATCCAGAATTAAGG